AACGGTTATTAATATTTAGAAAATCCAGTCGTAAAGAAAGTTAACCTTTTCTTCGATTTTGTTTCCTTTGAGCTTGCTATGTTGTTCAGTTGTCGCTCGTCGGTAAAGTCAAATGACTAAATGCTGGGTACAAACCTTTGCAAATGCTGTAAATGTCTCCTTGTCAGACAAATAGCAGCAAATTTCTTCTCTTAGGAAGAAGGCAAGACTAAATTTTCCAACTGGCTAAGGGTGCCCCCTTTCAACTCGTTTCGTTTTCAGTTTACTTATTTCCGTGTTTAAGACCGCTGTCCTGTAAATAATTTGTCGGTTGGCGGTAACACCGACTCCGAATGCAACCTTGCATGAAATGCACGTGGCCACCATGCTGTCAGTGCGTTTTTTTACATGCGTCTTCATTCCCTTTCGCAGGGGAAACACGTGAAACACGTGAAACACGTGATAGAGTAAACATTGGAGTCGTAAAGTCAGACGTGAACAGACAGCATGTGAACAAAGATTTTCCGATTGTGCGACTGAGCTTAAAATTTCCATGGCGAATTTTTGGTAAATATAGATATATATCAAAAAGGAAATCCGCTGGTCGTTGCAGATTAAAGTCGAATAGAAGTGAATGTAACAAAGTGAGGTGTAATTTTCAACCCAGGTCAGTAAACGCTCTTTTCCTATGACTACCACAACTGCGTTATTCAGCAAATTTCAACGTTGTCTATAAGTGGCGATATTATCTAATATGTAATGTGTACCCTGTGAAGCAGTTGCTTTGGCGCATCTCCGCACAATCCAGGGTGTTACACACGTTGTGTCTGAGCCGGGCCCGTGACTTGATTTTCTTTCACCAGTGTCGAGTTTCTCCTCTTGAAAAACTCACGTCAAGTTGGAAAAAAGCCGATCTTTTTCCAGTCATTTTGTTTGTATTTTCATTTCATAATCATATGCCGTTGAATTTCTTTGTCGTATTATAAGCAATTGGAAATTATCTCGTTATTGCTCAATTCGGGTCTCTAGATTTTTTAATAGTCTGTGCTATGTTCTCCGTCCAGGTGAAAAATGGTTGCAGTCTCTTCTAAAAATCGTTTTCCCGTACTATTTCGCTCCTCTCCACTGACCGAGATAAGCCTAACGTATGAAAAATTATATATTTTAATATAATTTATACCGGTACCGTTTAAT